CAAATGATGAGAATTTCTGGGGCAGGGGGTGGGGAGAAGAAGAAAACCTATATATGTATATTTAGAACACACACAAAGTAATAACGTAATAAATGAATTTCAAGGGTTTCTATTTTATTTTAGATTTCTTTTCCTGTGTATATTTGTTTTAGAAGTAATACAGTTGAAAACCAGGTTGACAGGAGTTCTGTAGCTCCACTTTACCCTCACTGAAAAAGTACACCAGAAACAAATTTAAAACTAAGCTCTAAAACGTGTCTGGATAATGCTACAACTCTTGTGAAGTGATTGGCAGTGGGAAGAAGGGTGGGTAAGTATTGACTTTGTGGATTAAGTATTTTCAGTAATGCCTGGTTGATTTAGAGACATTATGTGCTGAAGGCTTTGCTTTATTACAGTTTAATAGAGATGTTGGAGGCTCCCTTCCCTTAATGATGTTAGTGGGGAAGAATGGCAGGCTGTTGTTAAACTGGTGTCAGGTAAGCAAAATAAATGCAAGAAAGAAATGGAAGCAGCTGAAAAACTAAACATGGGTTTTATCCTCTGCTGGTAATTTTCTTGGCAAATTATTTGGCCTAGGATGTTTAGAAATGGAGGTTAGGCACAGCATCACTTTGTGTCTGATGAAGAACACCGTAAGCAGTGTCTTGTGAAGCACACATGCACGTTAGCCTTATTCACTGTAAAGTCACAGGATTTTGGAGATCTTTGAAAATATTCCTTCTTCTAATTACAGAACAGTGGAAATGCCTCAGCTGATGTTTGCATTTGAGTTTTGATGGAAAAGCAGTACTAGACTACTTCTAGCAAAGATTCCTGAGCTGGTTTGTACCCAACAACATTAATGTGCACATGAGGACACAGCTGGATATTTTGCTTTTAAATACACATGATTCCTAGGTTGGAGGTATAGATACCCAAGTATTAAAGCTGCCTTCTGTGTGGGTACTTTCTTGGAATGCAAATTGTAGACATCTCTTCTGGATTCTAACTTTTTTTGGGATGTGATCATATATACCAGTGACTAAGCCATGTACAGCAACAGCTTCTCCCCTCTGCATCAGATCACCTTGGTTATGTTGGGTGTACTAAGGAGCTCCAAGGCGTTGGTAGAATAGTTTGTTGAGGTATTTATTTTTTAAATAAGGCTGCTAACATGTTTGTTCTGCTTTTTATGCAGTTTTTAAAGCACTATCTCTGTCCTAGAAACTTTCCTTGAGCAGGCACCTTTGATGCAGCCAGAACATCCCACCAGTTGCCCACAGCACAACTATGCCATGCAGCTACTGAGTCCTTTTAGCCACCACTGAGCAGGTCAGGGGCTGAACTGGCAGAGAATACACTCTTAGGGGTCAGTGTGTGACCTTTTCATCTGAAGGATTCTATTGCCACAAAAAGTACAATTTTGGGCATTTGTAATGCAGTGGAAGATTGGAGGCCTGAGCTTCCTGGAAGAGGATCCCGAAGTCAGGATTCCTGTGGCTCAGTAACAGAGTTAGAGAGTTCTGAGTTATCAGGCAGGAAGAGAAATGGTTAAAAAGCATAGAATCAGAGAATCAACCAAGTTGGAAAAGACTATTAAGATCATCAAGTCCAACTGTTACCTCAGGGCTGCCAAGACCACCACTAAACCATGTCACTGGGGGCCTCATTTACACACTTTGTGAACACTTAATGGTGATTCTACCCCATGGAAGTGGATCATACTTCTTAAAGAAGAAGCTTTTAAAAATCAAGTTCTCTTTTTGACTCGGTATTCCCTTTCCTTTTGTTCCCAAACAGCTTGCATTTGATTGCAATGTGATTTTAAACCAGTGGAAATTACTGAAGATGGGGGAAGGGAATATATTGCAATATTAGGCTGATTTTTAGTTCCCAGCTTCTCCTAGATTTGCTCCCATCTATGGGTTAATATTTATGAACTGGTGAAATAAAATCTACATTAAATTGAGACAAAAGGATTTCTGTGTCCTATTAACTATGTTAATACGGAAAAATCCTATGAAAAAACCTTAAGCAATGGCTTTGTTCCATTTTTTTTCCGGGTAGGTCAGAGTAATACAAGAATAAAATGGTTCTCTGAAGAAATTCATGACCTTGTGGTAAAACTTCTCAGGCTCTGTTAGATGTGGTAGTTCTTACGTTGGAAAACAGTCTCCTGGAACATTTTCCAAGACTCATAAGATGCAGAGTCTTTTTCCTAATGCATTTTGGAGTGTGTGATAAAATCTTAAGTATAAGAAAGTATTTTACTTGAGGATGATGTTGGTCTCAGGCTTGCTTCTCATACGTTGAAGAAGTGTATCTGTACTTGGTAATACTTTTTGGTTAAAGACATTTGTTTCCAAACATATTCATGGAGTTACAGAAATAAAAGAATCACCTTTAGTGAACAGCCATATTAGAGAGATGCTTAAAAGCACCTTGGACTTTTTTCCTGTACTGATACTCTATTTTATCCCATACCTTTGCAAGTAACAAATTTTACTCCATAGCTCTATGTTACAAAATTTACATTCTTCAGTTACTACTGAATTCCTTGAGATCCCGTCTGTTCTTTCCATTGCAGTTCTCTGATACTGAATTTGAGTCTTGTGGTGGGTATCACTAAATAGATTTTGGGTTTGGTCTTCTCATGTAAACAGTAAGTGAACTTGCTGTTGTGCATTTGCGATTCAGCCCCCTGTGGACCTTAAATCAAGTTCTTGTGTTGGAGAGGATTTGTTGGTGATGTTTTCTACCTGAGTTTCCTCAGTTCTGAGTTTTTCCAGTGTCAATATTTGCAAGCTAATGCTGCAATTGGAGCATGTATTGTTACTTGTTTTGGTCAATGATCTGCTTTCCCTGAAGCCACCCCACTAAGCTTGTAAATAACTATCAGTGTACTTTGAAGTACATAACAGATTTAATGTCTTCTTGCTGTGTTATCTCTGTGTACCATTTTAAGACCATTCTATGATGTGAAGAGGTG